CGAGCTACACTAATGGGGTAATTTAGAGATAAAATGTAAGATGAAGTAGACTTACAGATAATCCCTAAAAAACACAAAAAAAAACATTGTTCTGGGCAAATTAGCTTAGATAAAGTGACGAGTCCGAGGACTTAACAGAAGAGTATTTAAACTTGAAAAGACTAACAGATTATTATTATTTTCATAAAATATTCTTCACAGATGGTCAGTAGAAGGTCTGGCATGTCTTGGGGATTAAGGCACTCGAAACCTGCGGGTTCAAATCCCGTCACCGAACATGCACGTCCTTCAGCCGTGAGACGTATAATGTTATGGTCAATCCCACTTTTTGTTGTTAAAGAGTAGCCCAAGAGTTGACTGTGGGCGGTGTAACTAGCTGCCTTTCCTCTAGTCTATCACTTCCAAATTGGGGACTGCCAGTACAGGTATCTCTCGTATAGCTTTGCAAGAAATTCAGCAAAACAGACAAACAAACGGTAGAATACTTAACAAATTTAGATATAGTAAATATTGGTAGTAGATAAGCTTCGTTGAAGTGATGTAAAAGATTAGCAGATATTAGATATCACGAGCTAATCCTTACAGACAATCAGTAGAATGCTTTAAAAGGTTAGAGATAGTAAATATTGGTAAATAAGCCTCACTGAAGTGTTTTACAAAATTATAGATAGTAAATATCTGGAGATAAGCCTCACTGAAGTGCTTTACAATATTAGTAAAGTAATGTTCCATAATGATTTTGACTGTTGTGAAGAACAAAGGTTGACTTAGTAAGATTATGTGACTGTTGTGAAGATCAAGGTTTGCCTGGTAAGGTAATGTTGCTTAAATATTTTGACTGTTGTGAAGAACAAGATTGACTTAGTAAGATTATGTGACTGTTGTGAAGAAAAAGGTTTGCTTGGTAAGGTAATGTTCCCTAAAGATTTTGACTGTTGTGAAGAACAAGGTTGGCTTAGCAAAATTATATGACTGTTGTGAAGAACAAGGTTTGCTTGGTAAGGTGATGCTTCTTAAAAATGTTGTGATTGCTGTGAAGAACAAGGTTGACTTAATAGAGTTATGTTATCTAAAGATTTGGTGTTTGTTTTGACGAACAAGGTTGACTTAATAGAGTTATGTTATCTGAAGATTTGGTGTTTGTTTTGACGAACAAGGTTGACTTAATAGAGTTATGTTATCTGAAGATTTGGTGCTTGTTTTGACGAACAAGGTTGACTTAATAGAGTTATGTTATCTGAAGATTTGGTGCTTGTTTTGACGAACAAGGTTGACTTAATAGAGTTATGTTATCTGAAGATTTGGTGCTTGTTTTGACGAACAAGGTTGACTTAGTAAGGTAATATTTCTTGAAAGAAGTTACATAACTGAACCTGAAGATATGTGATGGGAATTAAACCTAAAGTGTTAGCGATGCTAATGCTAATCTTAGGACCCTAAAGGCTTTTCTAGAGTAGATGTAGTTGTGACACATAACAAGAAATAACCACCTTTTCAAAACAAATCAAGTATTTTGAATAAATTATCAGTGGTGATATAAAATACTTTGGATACTAATGATTATTTAAACATATTATTTACCGAATTATTAATTATAACCATTTAAGGAGAAAATTATTTTTGTGTTTTTATTTTTGTACTTCAGCTGTATTTTCTCATATCTCCCAACATGTTAGTCAGGATAAATATAGCACAAACATGATCATTTCTAGCTTAATATGTTGACGGAAAAAAGGAGTGGGTTTGAATATTAGGTACGAACAGATACATCTTTCTACAAGACGTAACGGAATCAGTTCAGAATGTTTTCGAGAAAGCCATAAATAAATATGCTGTGTGTGTGAAATATGGTAGTTGATATAAAAAGCAATCTTGTGACTATAATTTTTAATCTGACTCAAACAAAGCCAGTTAAATATAATTACAAATAAGGGTCTTATTGAGTACCTTCAATATATATTCGTTATGAAAAGGTTATATGTAGAAAACTTGAAATCTTCTCAATAGCGAAAAAGAGAGAGAAAAACCCACCAGAACAAGTTTGGTTCCATTAATAAAGGAAGACAAACATTAATTTTATTTACCCCATTTGTATGGCTCGGCATGGCCAGGTGGTTAGGGTGCTCGACTCGCACTCTGAGTATCGCGGGTTCGAATCCCCGTCCCACCAAACATGCTTACCCTTTCAGCCGTGGGGGCGTTATAATGTGACGATCAATCACACTATTCGTTGGTAAAAGAGTAGCCCAAGAGTTGGTGGTGGGTGGTGATGACTAGCTGCCTTCCCTCTAGTCTTAAACTGCTAAATTAGGGACGGCTAGCGCATATAGCCCTCGTGTAGCTTTGCGCGAAATTCAAAACAAACAAACAATCCCCATTTGTAAGTCGTAAGTGAATGTTTGGGTTCACTCTATGATGGCGATGTGTCCTATTTTGATAAAATATCAAATTCCATGACTTCAAACGTTATACGATAATAGTAATTAGAGAACTATTAGCATCGATTTTAATTTGAGTGTAATACGCGGGAGAAATATAAACATTGTCTTATAGTTACAAGTCTCTTTTCGCGGCAGTATATCTACTTCTAACCGTTTCTAATATTTTGAACTGACAGAATGTAGACAGAAGGCAGGGAGTCAACAACATCCACCGCCAGCTCATGGGCTATCCTTAGCTGATTGAATTTGAGGTTTTGACCGTCACTATTATAGCGCACCCACGACCACAAAGTGCATAGAGCGCGTTTTTTGCGGCAAGAGTTGCGATACAGTTCCGGCGTGCTAACCTAACTATCTAGCCACGCCCAACCTTTAAGTATATTGGGCGATCTCTGTTGTAGCTTAAACCTGTTTCCAAAATTAATCTAAAAAATCATAGTAACAATATAAAAAGCTTCAAAGAATAATTATTTTACAATAAAAAAACTAAAAATATTTTACTTAAAACTAAAGTTGTTTCTCCTCAGAATCATTTTATACCCTCCAAACAAAAGTGATTCGAATCTTACAGAATAAAACTGCTCAACCCTTCTTTTCAATAATTCATTCGATAGTGAATGATATAAAATTAAAGTTAAGATCAATATTCGAGATTCTGTGTTAGGTATTACCGCAAGGAAACGACAAGTGAGTGAATCTATTTATTGATTGACTTAGAACAGTTCAATGTGCAGAGTGTAAATGCCTCCTAAGAACAATCAGTCTATGGTAGTGTCTTCAAAAATATCTATTCTATTTCAGTTGGTTATTTATTCCCCCCATGGCACGGTGGTATGTCTGCGGACTTACGACGCTAGAATCCGGGTTTCGATACCCATGGTGAGCAGAGATAGCCTATTGTGTAGCTTTGTACTTCATTACAAACAAACAAACAGATGGTTATAACGTTAGTGGAATTTGAATAGCTCTAAATTTCCAATTATCAGAAAATTATTTTATATTTATCGCCTTAAGGCCTAATAACTCGTAGTTTATTCCCCTTTTGTGTGTGTGTGTTTTTTATGTGTTAAATAGTATTTGATCTAGAGACTTGCACTGCATGGCGCCTCGTGACAAATACGAAACACTCTTCAGTATCAAAATCGGGCACTTTTAAAACGAAGAAACGTTTTAATGAAAGGGCACGTTTGTTGGAATGGACTACGCATGCGATAAAATAAAATGTTATTCTTTTCATTTTAGGCGTTATATATCAACATTAAAATAAGTAAAACTTGTATTTAAACTCTGTCCTATGGTAGTGCTAAACTAAAACTTACCCAAATCGATATGTATAGAAATATTGTTCTTCGTTAATTAACAGGTATTGATGTAACAAGGGGGGGGGGGATTAACAGTTACTGGTGTAACAAGGGGGCACTAACTGTTATTGATGTAACAAGGGAAATTAACATTTATTGATTTAACAAGGGGATTAACTGTTATTGGTGTAAAAAAGGTGACATTAACAGTTATTGATGTAACAAGGGGACATTAACAGTTACTGATGTAACAAGGTGAAATTAACAGTGATTGATGTGACAATGTAACAGCTATTGATGTAACAAGGGGCATTAACAGTTATTGATGTAACAAGGTGAAATTAACAGTGATTGATGTGACAAGGTAACAGCTATTGATGTAACAAGAGGCATTAAGAGTTATTGATGTAACAAGGGAGCATTAACAGTTACTGATGTAAAAAGGTGAAATTAACAGTGATTGATGTGACAAGGTAACAGCTATTGATGTAACAAGCGGCATTAACAGTTATTAATGTAACAATGGAACATTAACAGTTACTGATGTAACAAGGAGATTAACTGTTATTGATGTAACAAGGGAGCATTAACAGTTACTGATGTAACAAGGGAACATTAACAGTTACTGATCTAACGAAGTGGAATTAACAGTTATTGATGTATCAAGGGGGACTGACTGTTATTGAGGTAACAAAAACGTTTGCAGTTACTATAATGTGAAATTGCTTAGTAGGAGGTGAGAATGAAAGTAGAGTTTAAATGAAGGTTAAAAACATGTATAAGTTTCTCTAATATTTCTAATACAGGCTGGATGAGCTGGCTAGTTTGTATAGCTGTAAAACCAGAATAACGCGCTGTAGTGTTATAATTTTTAAGAATTTTCGCACAAAGCTACACGCATGTTATCTTAGCAAAGCAATCCCTAATTATGAGCTGATAACTAAAGGGAATACAGCTAGTCAATAACACCAATCGCCAACTTTTGGACAGCTCTCGTCTGGCCGAATAGTGGGATTTGTATATCATACTTATAGCTGTATTCCCTCGAGTCTATCAATTCAAGCCCGCAACTGGATTGGCGGGAAAATCTGAGAGCTTATAACTTTAAATTCGATGACGAGGAACCCACTTTGAGACTAATAATGGCTGGAGACGGCTTGAATGGGTAATGAAGAAAAACTTTAATAAAACAGCAAATGTACAACATTTCGACAAGGTTTTGTCATCATCAGGTACAAGTAATTTACACTGACACGGATATATATATACAGTAATGAACAAAGAAGTCACATGACCGGAACTGTTGTGAAACTTAGAACTTCTAAGTGAACTTCTAAGTTTCACAACAGTTCCGGTCATGTGACTTCTTTGTTCATTACTGTATATATATATATATATATATAC